AACTGTTTGTGTATTTGACTTAAAATTTAGTTTAAAATGTTCACAAACCATAATATGTTGTAAGTCTACGTTTACATTAAGGCAAGCCTTCAATATAGATCAGGGTTCGACAAACTATGTCACGTGGGATGATTTTCAGTGACACTTTGACTGAATAAAATGTAGTAAAAATTTATATTTTTATTATTAAGTATACGAGTACATTTAAATGGAAGCCATAGTTTAGTTTAGGCCATAGTACATAAAAAACGAATCTCTTGCTTGTATATTTATATTACAGTCCGTCCGTTTATTCTCCATCCGTTATCTACGTGTTGTGCATGTGCTTCACATGTAAGAACATAATTCAATTAACAACTTAACTGCAAAATTATATATTTTTGAAGTCCATTATAATTATAACGTAATCAATTTTGATAATACTGTATATATAACAAAATTGGTATAATCATGTCGGCACCCGGTATAAAATAGGTTCGGCACAATTAATGATCTATATCACGGGTCGATAACCTGAAAGGTTTCCGACCCCTGATATAGATCATTAATCGACTCTACATATAATTAATGTAAACATTGCAGTAGATGTATCATTTGTTTTTATGCAGTTAAGCTGTGCATACCATATGCCAGTGTTCCGCGACGTTTTTTTACATGCGGTACACCCATGACTCGACATATCTCAATACGGCACACCAAAATGTTATTCCCCTCAAAAACGTATAACATGATGCTATTAATAGAATTACGTAATGTTACTATCCTATTATTATTATTATTATTATACAGTAGTTAGTGGGTTCTACTTGGTTAATACCGGTGGCTGTGTACTATGTCAGACCAGAGTCAATGTATAGCAACCAAAAACTAAAATTAAATAAGTGTGTCAGTTTCTGTATTCAGGAATTTCCTAACATTATGGCATGTACTCAATATAGTGGCCTTCTCTACTGTGATGTATGTATTTCTATTCAATTGTAATGTTCCCAGGCGTTTGTGTGGTGTGTGTAATATCACACCTGTACAGGAGAAAATGACCGGTACAATAAGCACCCTTTCCATCCTCCACAGATGCCTTATTTCCTGGGTGAGTTCTGTGTACTTGCTAATTTTTTTAGTGAATGTGTTTTTTATATTGTGAATGTTTGAAATGGACATGTCTATAATGTATGTGATTTTATTGTGTTTGTCAATGAGTGTGATGTCTGGTCTGTTGTGGTAAATTATTGTCATTATTATTAAACAGACAACATCAACACCTGTGAGCAAATTTATTTTGCATTTAATTTCTTAAAATAGGCTACATAAAAATGCGTGGCTTATAAGAATAAAGAAACATCAGTGCTGCGGCACTTATGAAATAACAATTGAAAAATTAGCATAAGAAGCACGGCAATTGTGATAAAAATATATAAATAAACTTAAAATTAATAGAATATGTAAAAGTTCTCGTCACACCTATCACCTAGTGAGGACGTACCAGTGTGCCGCAGCCCACCGGTTGCTGANTTTGATGAATATTAATTTTTTCAAATTTTTCAAAAAATATTTAATAGTAAAAAATTTTGACTAAAAATCGCGTCGGGTCTGTCAGACCCATGCGACTAACAGAAGGTTAATCAAAAACGTATAATATGATGCTATTAATAGAATTAAGTAATGCTACTAACCTATTATTATTATTATTATTATACAGTAGTTAGTGGGTTATACTTGGTTAATACCGGTGGCTGTGTACTATGCCAACCAGAGTCAAGGCATAGCAACCTAAAACTAAAATTAAATAAGTGTGTCAGTCTTTGTATCCAGGAATTTCCTAACATTATGGCATTTACTCAATATAATGGCCTTCTGTAGTGTGATGTATGTATTTCTATTCAATTGTAATGTTCCTAGGCGTTTGTGTAGTGTGTATGGTATCACACCTGTACAGTAGAGAAAGACCGGTACAATAAGCACCATTTCCATCTCCACAGATGCCTTATTTCCTGTGTGAGTTCTGTGTACTTGCTAAATTTTTAGTTTAGTGAATGTGTTTTTTACGAGTATATTGTGAATGTTTGAAATGGACATGTCTATAAGGTATGTGATTTTATTGTGTTTGTCAATGAGTGTGATGTCTAGTCTGTTATGGTAAATTATTATCATTATTATTAAACAGACAACATCAACACCTGTGAGCAAATTTATTTTACATTTAATTTCTTAAAATACATAAAAATGCGTGGCTTATAAGAATAAACAAACATCAGTGCTGCGGCACTTATGAAATAACAATTAAAATATAAGCATAAGAAGCACGGCAATTGTGATAAAAATATATAAATAGACTTAAAATTAATAGAATACAGTATGTAAAAGTTCTCGTCATACCTATCACCTAGTGAGGACGTACCAGTGTGCCGCAGCCCACCGGTTGCTGAACACTGCGTTATGCTACCTAAAACTGTCTAGGATTCTTTAGTTTTCAAAACGTTAGCACAAAAATCACTTTTTATATATTTTCTTAATTATCTGTTCTAATTATTTTCGTTATATTTGTGACAAATATACAGTATTTATGTTATGTGCTGTAGCAATCAATATGTAGGTATTAATATATATAATTAATAACACGACACTCTTCAAGTCAAGATTGTTTAACACGGCCTTTTATTGTCATTGTCAGTTAAAGCATAATTTCCAGTACTTGTATCCTTATTTAATTAACCTGCCTAGTATTATCAGTCTGCGATTATCATTAGTAATCGTAAATCCTGAATTACAAAGATAAGCTTGGTTTATTACATAACATTATGATATTATTTAATAAAGCTAAATATATTTATCAGGATATTAAAAAAAAAGGCATTTGACATTCATACGATGCATAGTATACATATTTTTGTGTGAAAACACTATAGTAAAAGCAGATTAAAAAATCGACATGTTCAGTGATACACAATTTTGCATGTTAGTATAACAACTGATTTATCGAATTCTTAGTGTATCTATCATGTGTTGTCCAACAGGATAAATTTTCGCTGTGAGATGGGATGTTTCACAGCGAAAATTTGTGACACTTTCAAACTTAGGCTTACTTAAAAATAAGTCGGAAATGGTGTACACTACTTCTAGCTTAATTTTATTTGCTATTCAGCAGCCATTTTAGTTTCTGTTAACTAATGTTTTATCAGCTGTAAGCTTTAGGAATCTCAACGGGAAGTATGTGATCTCTTAAAGTTTGAAGAATTTGATAACTTTACCGCTAAACAAGTTTTTTATTTTTAAGAGATAATTAACAGTTAATTACTATTCTACATCTATCACAATATTATTTAGATAAGTGTAATGAACTTCGTCATCTTACGGTTCCTGTTACGGTTTATTATTGATCGTAATATATAATTAATTAATTGACAATTTTATAACGAGTTTAATAGAAGAATCAACTATGTTTCACTACAGATACTCTATTTAATTATAATTTAAATATATAAGAACATGTTGCAATAATGGATATTCATTATTAAAGATTACATAATTTACATAATCAGTCGACCCCCCTATAACACTGTCGATAATTCAGTTTTATATGAATTCCATGTTGTACGAGTCACTTAGATTTTACAAATACGTAAGCCGTTCACGGCCCGGCACACGTATTTGTAAAATCTAAGTGACTCGTACAACATGGAATTCATATAAAACTGAATTATCAACAGTGTTATAGAGGGGGGGTCGACTGGTATTCGATATTGCAATGTATAATTGATGAATCACTTTTAAATGTATTATGCTTAGTTAATTAGAATTATAACAGAGATATGCCGGTTAAATATAATTAATATATTTATTTATAATTTATTTTTACTGTAAACACAAATTTCTGTATAAAACAAGAAATCGTCGTATATTCAAAACAATTAAATTAATTATAACATTAAATTCTGAGTGTAAAACTTACCTACAAAGTGTATACTCTTATTTTCTTTGTGGTGATAATTCGTTTCAGTGTCCATAAACTTTACTGTAATATATATATTTCTATGTGTAATAAAAGATAAAACGAAATGTTTATTTTCCTGTAACATGTTATGTTTTTATGAATTACATAACATGCATAAATATTTCTAATAATAAAACATTATCTGTACATATTTAGGCTTATCTGATTAGTAACAGAAAAAATTCGTTTTTTGAACGCTGTTGAAGCATCTCTAAGACACCTACTAAGTCAAGGAACGTACTGTACAGTACATCTATTAATAAATGACCTACTTTCAAAATTAATGATTGAGTAATTTTTATGTTTTACTTTTCCAATACATTACACTACATTTAAATTTATATAAATACAGTAGAGCGTCGATTATCCGAACCGAATGGGGACTGGGGTTGTTCGGAAGATCGATGTTTCGAATAACCGATTGTGTACGAAAAAAATATATTATTTTATCCCATCTTGACATTTTTCTCCGTTGCGCGTCTCTTCGCGTTGAATTTTCGTCGATGTTAAGCCTAACGAAGACTATTGTATCGTTAAAAATTATTTTTTTGTTTTGTACGAACAAAATAAATATATTGAAAAATATAAAAACAGTAAAAAATTATACTTCAGAAGTTTATTTAGTATCAAAAACGTAAAATATTTGAGTAACCCAAGACATAGCCAAAGACTGCAGCGCCACAGCACTGGCGAAAATTTAAATTTGCCGTTTTTCGGATGATCGGATGATGACTTTCGGATAATCGACGCTCTACTGTACAGTAGACCCCCGTATAACGCTTAGATACGTTCCACGCTAATCGAATTTTACGTTGTAGGAATGATTAAATACATGAACCAATCGCAGCCCGATAGGTGGGAACTTTACGGACTAAGGCTGTTCGAAAGGTTTTCTTCTATAAAATTAACCGATTCTACACTAATTCCACTCAACATTTCCAAAACACGTATAATTTTTTGGGAGTAATCCGTATAAACTACGCTATAAACAAAAAATTATAGGATTACTTACCGAGTGTGTACCGTTCGACTACGCCGTTGCTTAAAGCTGGTTTTCGTTGCGGAATAGCACATGAAACGGCGGCCGCGATTTCTAATAACGAATTTTTCGCAGAGAAATAACTTGACCTTTGGAGACATCATTAATATAAATAATTTTTANACCTACAAAGTGTATACTCTTATTTTCTTTGTGGTGATAATTCGTTTCAGTGTCCATAAACTTTACTGTAATATATATATTTCTATGTGTAATAAAAGATAAAACGAAATGTTTATTTTCCTGTAACATGTTATGTTTTTATGAATTACAGAACATGTATAAATATTTCAAATACTAAAACATTATCTGTATATATTTAGGCTCATCTGATTAGTAACAGAAAAAATTCGTGACAATCACAACATAATGACTGAGCTAAATTAATATAATAAGAAACTAGAAACCAAGAATGAGATTTATGAACACTGTTGAATCATCTCTAAGACACCTACCAGGTCAAAGAACGTACTATACAGTACATCTATTAATTAATGACCTACTTTGAAAATTAATGATGGAGTAATTTTTATATTTTACTTTTGCAATACATCACACTACATTTAAATTTATATAAATATATGAAAATAAGAAAACATTTCCTTGCGGATTACAGCCTGCTTTTCTCTAGGCGTATTTTAAAATGTTCATAATTTTTATTGAGCGGATTCTTCGTAACTCAGAAAGTGTTTTGTCTGTAATCGCAGTTTGAAGCAACCGTATCACTATTAAACGTAATTTTTTGCAAATATGCACAACTAGGCAAAGCCCATGTGGTGACGAAGCCCGAATTTTGAAATTGGATAATCGGGCAGAGAAATTCGAAGAGCTAGTTGTATGTTTAGGGCAGTTTGTTCTAAAATGAACCACTGTAAAATAATGGCATTTATAACAAATTAAGAAGCACGTTGCGATACAGATTCCTGTCCAGACAAAATGTGGTTTAATGTAACTAGTGAATGAATATAGAGTTTCATAATGAGCGTTTTATGAGTCACCCCATGGCCGATTCGTTTAACTGATCCCGGACTTCGATTTTGTAATTTTGTCATGTAAAATAGTCATTTTTACCTCTGTGTTTCTTTGCAAAGAACATTACAAAACAATACAAGTAAATACAACATCGGTTTATTATGATATCATAATAATTTTACAAAAAATAAAAACTAAATACGTTTTAAACAGTGTTGTATAGCAAGAGTGGCCAACAAGTCGTTTTCGAAAAAATCTTGTACACCCCTGCTTTATCTTCTTTCTTTCTTAATGTTATCTTTGTGATTCCATAAAATTGTATATAGCCTAGGTGGGGAACCTGCGGCCTCCGCGAGGTTCTTGTGCGGCCCTTTGCCACCTAGTACAAAAATGGTAGAGTTCGTTTCAAACAACTATTGTACATCAACGCCATGACAGTTGCGCAAAAAATCCCGCCAAAGACAGTCATATTGTAACATGACGTCAGAATACTAGTCTGAAACGGACTCTAACACGCATGAGCGAGGCTCTGGCCCACAGACCATCCGTTTCAGACTTGGACACTCAATGTTAATTTTTTAAACAGTTTTTTAAAAAATGTTTTGTAAACAGTTTTTTAAAAAATGTTAATTTTTTAAAAAACTGTTTAAAAAGCGCTAGCAGCGCCAACTACCTTGTCTAAGAAGTAAACAAAACTCGGTTTCAGATCTCCCATTTGAGTGTCACACCTTGCTTTGGCTTCTCTGACTCGCATCTCTCAACGCTTCCCTGTTGCGATCTTCAGCAAACTGTAGTTAACAGTGAGTGCTTATAACAGTTACACGGTTTTATTGTATTTCTAGAAAGTATACACTTTGTTAAAGATATTATTTGATATTCGTTTTTTTATCCATCATGTCAAATAGTAAGAGAAGAAAATTAGGTGATGAAAACAGAACATTTAATGTAGAATGGGAGTTAGATTTTTTCTTTACTGCTGAGAAAGATAAAATGATGTGTTTGTTGTGCAATACAGTTTTAAATACTTTAAAAAAAGCGAATGCAAATAAACACTATTTGACTCATAAAGAACNAATGTAAGCTATTAATATCTATCGTAAGATAAATGTACTATGCCAAAAACCTTCGCGGGAGTACATTAAAAAACTTTCCGAAGTTTTATGGCAATCGTACTATGCCACAAACCTTCGCCGGAGTATATTAAACAACTTCCCAAAGTTTCACGGCAATCAGATAAACGGTGTGGTAATGCATGAAGGACAGACACACACACACACACACACATTCATTTTTATATATATAGATTTATATATAATACTGTACAGACGATAGCAAACTCAATTTAGCCGCTCCATAGCGTGGCGCAGGGTCGGAGGAAAGTAGTTCGGCTGCTCATCCACTATTGGTCCAGATTCTATCAATCTTGTCGCGAAACGACGTTATAGGAGGTATTTTATACGAATGTTGCTACAATTTTTTCGCTACGTTATAGGAATTGTCGTTATATTAACACACGTTATAGAGGGTCGACTGTATATAAAAATAAGAAAACATTTCTTTGTGGATTACAGCCTGCTTTTCTCTAGGCGTATCTTAAAATGTTCATAATTTTATTGAGCGGATTCTTCTTAACTCAGAAAGTGTTTTGTCTGTAATCGCTGTTTGAAGCAACCGCATCACCATTAAACGTAATTTTTTGCAAATATGCACAACTAGGCAAAGCCCATGTGGTGACGAAGCCCGAATTTTGAAATTGGATCTACGGGCTAAGACATTCGTAGAGCTTGTTGTATGTTTAAGGCAGTTTGTTCTCAGACAAGAGAGTACTAAGGCCTAGGCAACCTAGGCACGTGCCTAAGGCCCGTAATTTTTTGGGCCCGAAAATTAGATTTTTAATTTTTTTATTTTTATAATTAATTTTTATTTTTATTTAACAGAAAAACTTGATATTCATAATTATTGCTTAAACGTATTCAAATTATGCCAAATGGTTGATTGATAAAGCAGACAAGTGTGGACGAGCGTTCTCTTGCTTATGCATCCACGCCCGTGAGTGTCGAAGTGTGTAAATACGATCGAACCTTTACTATGCACGTGTTTAAAAAGTCAAACGTAGCTATTTAAAATCAGTGTCTCCTGAACGTATTGCATCTTATGTGAGTTGTGATTGAAAATTGTGCAATTAAGACTTAAGTACCTAGACTTGATTGCAAATAGATTGTTTTGGATTCATAGTTAATACTTTCTGGAATTCCTAAAATAAAAATGTAAGTTTTTATAAAAGTATTACATTATTTAATTAAAATAGTATATAATATAAAATACCACAAATTGTGATTTTGTTTGTGATTGTGATATTGAGTAAAAATAAATTTAATTGAAGATCATTTTTGTCTTTTTTTTCACTACATGGTCTTTAAAATGAGTTCCTATAAACATTTAAGTGGAAGTGAAAAAAGAAAACGAAAAGCAGATCGAGATAAAGTGGCAAAACAAATGAAAAGATCGTTGGACAAATTTTTAACTGTAGAGGGAGAACAATTACAACAATCGTCATCATTTTGACAAGTTTCACCTGCTCAAACTCCAGAAACATCATTTGTGTCCGAAACTATTCTGCAAAAAGACCAGCAGGAAAAACCAAGCAATTCCGTTTGTGAAGATGAAACAAAAGGAGAAAATATAAATTTAAAATCATCTCAAAGTAATGATGAAACTAAGAGTTTTGTAAACGATATTGCATTATGGCCAGAATACTTAACAGACGCCATGCGAGAGTATTATATAAAAAATCCACCAAAATCAATAAATGGATCTTTGGAATCATCTTCTATTCGATGCAACGAAGGGTCAAAACAAATCACAAGAAAATTAACTATTGCCTCCTTCTTCAGAACAATTAATAGCGGGGAAAAAGTTAAAAGTGATTCGTTGGCATATACTGAAACCAACAACTTATTGTACTGTAACGTCTGTAAATTATTTTCCAAGCAAACAACGCTAATGACAAAAGGTACGAATGATTGTAAAAATGTACATAAAAAGTTGTCAGAGCATGAAAACTCCAGTGACAGGGGCGGGCAACCCGGACATTTGTCCGGGGCGCCAAAGTTTAGGGTGCCATTATGGCTGTAAGTGTGAGAAAAATATTGATGTGTTAATAAGAGACGAAGCCTCGGGTTTATTAAATTGTATTAAACAATTTGTCTTTGTGTTCATTAGTTATCTATATCTATACTAATATTATAAAGAGGTAATGTTTGTATGTAAGTTTCGTTGTATCAGGTAATCTCCGAAACTACTCATCCGATTTCAAAAATTCTTTCACCAATATTTAGAATGGAACCTCAGGGTGGATATAGGCTGTGTATTATTCCGTTAAACATTCATATAAATTAAAAGATATAATCTAGGTTAAGGCTTTTACGTCCAACAGATGGCGCTACGAGTACGACGCCCTAAGTTTGCTTTTCTGTGAGGCATTACGCTTTTCTGTGAAAATGAACTAAAGCGGATCATCTTCTATCAATTTATATAAATAAAAGTGTAATGTTCGTTTGTTCCTACCGATTTCTTTGAAATTTTGACACAACGCTGCATTCGAATACGCACGTGTTTTTATATAATATACGTGTCGANTCATCAGTGCATACTTTTATCGCACCACCGTTCCTGGATACAAATAACCTTTCTCATTATCTCATTAACGGTGTTGTATTGTCTTATTTTTATTGCTACAGGTACTATTACTTTGTAACACACTGTTTTCTTTTTTTTTATAATTTCTTAACGTATTATATGTTTTGCTTACTGAATTTTATATTATTGTTTATGTATTTTAATTTTCTCAAATAAGTTATTGTAAATTTAGTTAATTGCTATTGTATCATGTTTCTACTGAAATATTGTGTTATACTTTGTCTGCATTATTATTCTATAATGTATTGTATTTTGTTATTTACATTCTGTATTTTGTGATTCTCTGCTGTATAATATTTCAATGCATATGTTTTCTGTATCACACAACTTGTTATTTTATCCCCATCTTTTGTATATACTACACATGTAATGTTACTGTAGCCTCTAATGTTAATGATCTGTAATAATGCCAATATGTTCTTGTCTGCACCTGGTTATATGTATATGGCACCAGGTATGTACTGTAACTCAGTATTTTATTAATAAAATGAATCTGAATCTGAATCTGA